CGTCCTTGTGACAAGTTGGACTATTGAAGGCTCGGACCATTTTTTATTTCTGCACAAATCAATCCAGTTGCATATCGTTTACATCTATCGGAATCAATGAAAATCCATCGAATATTATACGTGTTTTTTCTTGAATCATACAAGATAGTGGACATACCAAGAAGAAGACAAGCTCCACCTCCTCGTATAGAAGTAGATAATAATGAAGAGTTTAAAGTGGAAGAAGACTTAGATTTAAGGTGGCACCGAAATAAATTGAAATATCTTGTCGATTGGTGCGGATATGATATTAGTGAATGCACATGGGAGCCAGTAAAGAATCTTGCAAATATAGCAAAGGCAGTGGAGGCTTTTCATCGACGACATTCATCAAAATCAAGATGAAAATCTTCTTTATAAAAGAAACACAATCTAGGCAAGATAACATTCTACTTTCAATCCTTGTTTGTAGCTTCTTTGTAGTTGTGACGCTTAGGAGATGGAGAACCAACAATCAGTGGATTCAACTCAAGAGCCTTCGTTTGCTGACCTATCGAATGAGACATTATGATTGTCACAACCTTCAAGACAGCATAATCAAGATGAAGATCTTCAAGAATGACATTTTCTTCCTTGAATAGATGGCAAAATACAACACGTTTGGTATCACGACCTTGGAAAGGACTCCTAATGTTTGGTGATTTTACTAGAGGTAAGAACAACTCCTGAAGGTGTTCCAAATATTTTATTCGAAGGAAGTTATGAAGGCCTCAACAATAATCAAATAACTGGGTGGTCTTCCTGCCTTGGTATGGGATATTACCGATGGTTGAGAGGCCCTATCAATCATCTTTGAAGAGAACAAAGATCAGAGTATGTGGCAAATATAATTTGTCACATCATAGATTTCCTCAATATATGATTACCGCTCCTCATAGAACTTGATCCTAGAAGGGAGATAATGTCTCGGACATACACATGTAAGCCAATAATTACATGTATAAATAGGTAGAAGTAAGTTAATTCTATAGTATTTGATATGGAAGCTTCATAGAAGCTTTATAGATGCTACTTTGACTTTATAGGTATCTTTAATTGACTTTTTGGATTAGAAACGTCGTCAACAAGTTGGCCATGTGCCACACATGTTGTTAGCTTGAAGACGAAGCTAACTATGTGGCCTACACGTAGAAAAACTTATCTTATAAATCAAGGCATGTGTCCTACAAAGTCAATACATATTGGAGGTCCTATAGAACGTCGCCATGTAGCCCTTGGTTAGATAGTATATATAGAGACAAGAGTGAAGCCTTCTTCATTCTTAACAACTCCTTTCTTGCTTCCAGTCTAGTTTCAAGGGTCTCTAGTTTTCTTGGCTTTTGGCAATAGCCATTCTAGTTTCTTTCTTAATATATATATCAAGTTATTTCTATTTTGTCATCTTTCTTTGAGAGAAGTCTCACTTGTTTATTTGTCTTTATCATGTTCTTGTCTTTGACAATACGTCTTATAATTTATCTAAAGAAGGTCCAAACTATCATGGTTTGGAAGTTCTCAAAAATAATAAGAAATGTTCATAATTAATAATAAATTATTGATATCAACTCAAAATTTTCACACTTTTTAGTATTTTAGTTAAGAACAAGTAGAAGAAAGATGAAATTGATTTTACTTACCGATTGAAAGAAATGCAAGATAATTTAATTGAGTGTTGGCCGCTTCTTGTTCCAATCTTTATTGAACTTTAAGCACCAATGTCTCTTTATTGAACTATTGAATTACTCTCAAATTTCACCCAAACATTGAAAATGAAGTCTTATATCTATACAAAAAAAATTTACTTCAATCCAATTAATAATTTATTAAAAATCTTAGAAATATTCACTAATCAATAAATTTCCAATTTTTGAGACTAAAGTAATAAAGTCTCAAAAAATCCTCCACATACTTCAATCTAACCATTTCATTGATCTCAAAATTTGCATATATATTTACAACTAATATACCAACACATTACTCAAATTTCATCCATATGTATACTATAGAATTCAAGAAACCTTCAAATTTGTAAACATATTTTTATTTTTTAAAACCTAAATCCTCTAATAATATTATTAATTTTAAAAATCCTTCAAAATTTCAATATTGATTCAAATGACATAAACCTATGGCTAAAAATATTTTTCTACTCTCAAAATCCACTCTCCTATGTTATGTTGTAACACAACTATATGATAAAAATATAATCAAAAATAAAATTTTAATTAATATTTAATCATCTTCATTCAATAATAATTTAAGATATTTAAATATGGCTCTTATAAAAGCCTTTTAGTTTATTTTTTTCTATCTTAATAGCTAGTAGATTAAAGATTGGTTAATAATTTTACTTTTTATATTGTAATTTTTTTATTATCTTAAAAAATCCATAAATTAATAAAAATAAGATAGAAGAGATAAATAATTAATATGATTGATACTAGGATTAAGTTGAGGGTAGGGACGAGCTAAAAAATCCCTATGATAGATTGGATTGATACCCAAAGATTGACCATTTGTGGGATAAGATCAAAATCAGACCTCTAGCCACTAAAATGGCCACCTAGGGCAAAGTATGAAGACATAAAGTATAAAGACATAGTATGAAGACATAGTATAAAGATCAATAATTAAAATGGCCGCCTAGGATAAAATATGAAGACAATCAAGATTTAATTTAGGTGGCCATTTTAGTATGAAGATCAGTAATTGAGATTTGTGAGTTAGTTTTAAGTTTATTTTAGAAATATAAGGCTTATATTCATAGGGTTTAGAATAACTTTACAATTATTGTTCAAAATAAGGATTCGTATCAATGACTTGGGATTTATGCAATACAATTAGGGCTAGCACTATTGGCTAGTTTGTGCAATTGATATTATATCTATACTTCAAAATTTGATAGTGCTTGGTTAATTAAGTGTGCTAAGTATGTATAATATTTTATATTAATCTAATAGTGGAATTAGGAGATATTTGGATTTTGGTACAAGAAGGTATTAAAAGTTAGTAGTTTGGAATTAGATAGAGTTTCTATGATATCTGAAGATCTACTAGTTGGATTAAGGTGAAATTTGGCATAGTATTAGAAGACTTTAAGATCAAACTACACACCATTTTTGAGTTGAAGTTAATGATTGAAGAAGGAGAAATTGCCACTAGAATATTTACATCAACTTTTGAGTTGGCAGCTAAATAACATTAATGTAGTTTTTGGACTTTTTCTCACAATTTGTGAGTTGGATTGGACTAAATTTTTTTAAGTATATAGAAGACTTATAGTGGCATATGTATGCAAAATTTTGCATCAAGTGGATAGTTAGATTAAGAATTATAGCTCATCAAAGCTCACTAATTAGGATTAAGGCTTGCAAAGAGAAATCAAAATTATCTAATTATGAAAGTAATAAGGCAATTAGAGTTTATATATGGTTGAAGTTACAAAAAGAGTATTTTTGAGTAATTTGTATTGGTTTTAAGTACTTTTGAATTAAAATTCGAGTTTCATTTTTCTTATATGGATGAAACCTATTAGAGTTTCTTCAATATTTATAAACATAACTTCATCTTCAACTGCCAAGTGTCCGATGCATTTTCAAATAAGACAAAATATATTACGACATAAGTGGTGAACCTAATATGAAAATTTGGAGTGGAAGGTATTGGATTATATTTGTGGTTATTTAGAATTGATGGTGCAAAAAGATAAGAAGGTTGAATTTGGAGTTTTTGATGGAGCTTTGGGTAGAGCTTCAAGTGGATCTTCAAGTGGAGTTTTAAGTAGATTTTCTATTGGTGGACATGATATATACTTTGATCCAAACACTGCAAATATGTTTCAAGCATTTACATTATTTATGCAATAATAATAGGGCAATAATTACAAAGAGACTTTAACAACCAAAGCATTACAAGTTGAAGATAATAAAATTGACCAATTTTATGGAAGAGACATTTCAAAGTATTTGAGATGTTATGTATAAGAAATAGAATTGAATTGAATTTCCAAAAAGAAGATGATTGAGCTATTTGGACATGCTACAATATTAAAGATAATAAAATATATTAAATCAATTATGGAGCATTTTGGAGATTCATAGAAGACATTTTTAGATGCATTCAAGGACAAATATTTTTTAGAAGACATTGATTGTATTATCAAGAAACCATTTTTGGAATGGATTGAGTGGCCTAACAAGAATTTGCAACCTAAGAAGCTTTTTAGGGAGTTTGAAAGGTAATATTCTTAATTATTAAAGATGAAAAAATTAACTATGGAACCAAAAAAGATAGAGAATTGCAAGAGAAGTTGAAAATTGTATTCATTGTTTTTGGCATCAAGTAGCCCTCCACACAAAAATATCCAAACTTGGCAAAAATCGATAGGGGTTGAAATAAGCGATGAGGGTGATCACTCTAACAGATCCCCACACAAAACCCTGAACTTGTTTCGACAGCATCGAATATTTTGCAGAGACTGAAATCAACCTCGTCCGCGTGGACAACCATCCGCTCACAACGAAGGAACTTGCAAAATCAGCGCAGGGCTGTGAGCAGAAGTAGAGGCCTAAGCCGACACCCAGCCTAGGAGATACTGTATACTATTCTGCGGTATATTGCACAGCCATCACTCAGTCCTTCATCGCTGCATCTGTGCCGTTTTGTCTGCCACGTTGCTGGTCCATATTGAGCAGCTTAATAGTCTGCCAAGTGGCCCACACGTGACAATGCGTCACTGGTGGATCGCTGTAGGGTTTTTTGAGATGGATGGTCATTGGTAAAGTCGCGTGAAACATTCATGCAACCAATTTTATTGGTGGCGATATTCACGTCAACAGTTTCTTGTTTGGACGGTCAGGCGTAGGAGCAGTGGTCGTCAATGTCCCATGCTTCCAAACGAGCTGCGGTGGATATTTTTCTGGGTCCCACTTCGCTTGGAGGCAAATTCGTCATCGGACGGTATAGAATGTGAGAGAATGAGGAATGTGTATCGTTAAGAGAGCGTATCCTGGTGCTTGCTTGATAAATCCATGTCAGTTGCTGGATGTCTTGTAGCCTGCGAGATTCGGTCGTGATGGGTTGCTGGGGTTTGTGACCAGAGGAGAGAGTGTCTGCTTGCATTTCGCAATCAGGTACAGGGGAGCTGGGGTGCTGGCTTTACTCCCTGGTCGTTGCATTGGCTATGGTGGATACGGAATGACATTCTAGGAAGTTTTTGGATACAAGGAAGTAGAGGGATTAATCTCTGTCCTGTGGAAGGTGTCATTTCTTCGGTGATCTTGGAGGGTCAGTTTGTTCTTAGCTTATTGAGAGGAAGAGTAGAGCAATGTCCGGGTTACAATTGCTAACCGTTGGCCTTGTGCCCGCCAAATCGTCTGAATTTGTTGGTTGCACGAAGTTCAGCCAATGCAGTAATCTCAGGCTGCCGGAATCACGGTCGGTGCAATGGGGCGTTTTTTCCCATTCGTGGACCCATTTTAGTCCAGCAGCGATTTCTACTTCGGGACAGTTACGCGAGGGTTCTAAGCGGGGTCGGGGGGTTTGGTGTCGGGCTGTCGAGGTTGAGAAGCTTCCGGAGGTCGATGGGACTTCTACCTTGAAAGATCTCGAGGTAAGGCTCCCTGCCTACTGCCCCTTCAGGACTTTGATCCTTGTGGTGTGGTTGTGTCCTTCTCAGACGTTGCATACATGGATTTGGCAGTGTTATCTGACATGCGATGTCTTCACATCAGTCTGTGCAGTATAATGTAGTACGATGTGATCGAGGATTCTAGTTGCAACTGGTGTATGTTGTTAGGAAACATCCTCGTGTATGAAGAGGGGTACGCATTATCCCGGAAGAGGCCAAGTGTAGATGTTACAGGAATTTAATTGTGATTGGAGTGCTCTGTTCATTGCTCAAATAACTTCAAACATTATGCACTTCGTGGTTCAGGGTCTCAAGCCCTTGCCCTGTTTCAATTGTAATAGCTAGGGAGAGAACCAACTGGTAATTTGAAATTCGAGCAGATTGATTCATCCATAATCACACAAATGGAGTACTATTTAAACTTTGTCGTCAATCCTTCAGCAATGTAGAGGAAATGACCAATTAGGAATTGTAACGAAGTCTCAATAGACTGCTGGCGTTAAAGTCACCACCGCAGAGATGATTTCACTAATTTTTATCGCAATGTGCTACAGAGGACCAATGTTCCACCCCGCAATTGTAGTCAATTGGTCCAACAATGAGAAATTTTCAGGAGATATACACTATGGGCCTGCGCTTCGTTTTATGGCATTCGGGTTTACATCTTCATGTGTGTATTGGCTTCTCTGTCTTGAGGAGCCTCGCTGCTAGATTTAATTGACATTCTCTCTAAGATGCATAGCATGCACTTGTTTCTGTGCAGATCGAAGAAGTGACTGAGGATCTGCAGCCTACTGTTGAGCGAGATTTTACAGGGACACCAAATATCCCTATCTATGTTATGCTACCAGTAAGCATGCTCTTCTTGTTCTGACTCTTCCCTTAGATTTTACATTGTAATTCCAAGGAGATCCAGCCAACATGGTTTATTACACTGATGCTTCATCACATTGTGTTAAACTTCGCTGTTCGATTCACGTGACCTGCGCAACAAACAAGTACCTCTTTTTAAAAATCATGGTTTTTCTTTAAATCTTTGTGTTCCCAGATGCAAACCTGACATGCAATCTACAGGTGCGGAACCTCTTGGGCTTTTGAATCTGGAGCATGAAGTCATGATTTTTCATCTTACTTACGCCTGTGTTACTTAATATCGTGTTGTACGCTAACAGTTGTATTTCTTGAGCAGCTGGGCACAATCGGTCACGATAACAAAGTAACGAATCCAGACGATTTAAGACAAAAGTTCAATGCGTTGAAGACAGCTGAAGTGGATGGAGTTATGGTAGATTGTTGGTGGGGTTTGGTGGAAGGCAAAGAACCCCAGCATTATGACTGGTCTGGATATAGGCAGCTATTTACTATGGTTCGCGACTGCGGCCTTAAATTACAGGTACACGCTTGTACTTGTTTCTTTTCATTTTATTTTTTAATTTTTAGAGATTTCAAATAACATTATTTATCTATTTTTCATATGTGGTTAAGTTGCTTAAAGAAACTGTACATGTTTTTCTTAGTTTTTAATTTTCTACATATTTCATGTTTCATTTCATAACAATTTCTGTACATAAATCAGTCGTGCCGTGACGGATCTTTTGAACTTTTTTCGGTGTAAGGTGGTTATGTCGTTCCATCAATGTGGTGGTAACGTAGGCGATGACGTTTACATCCCTATTCCTCAGTGGGTTCTAGACATTGGCAAAGACAATCCTGACATTTTCTTCACAGACAAGAGCGGTGTGGTTAACCCAGAGTGTCTTACTTGGGGTGTGGATAAAGTTCGAGTTCTGCGGGGTCGAACAGCTCTTGAGGTTGAATCTGCACTCTATTATAAATTTGCTTGTAGCATATGCTCGGGCTTTTAGAACTCGTGCAAAGATGTGCCAAAATATAACGTACTCATTGCATGAAGAACTCACTGTTTCAGGTTTATTATGATTACATGAGAAGCTTTCGGCAAGAAATGGACGAATTCTTCATGGACAAAACTATAACTGAAATAGAAATTGGGTTAGGTGCTTGTGGTGAGCTTCGATACCCCTCCTACCCTGAAACGCGTGGGTGGAAGTATCCCGGGATAGGTGAATTCCAGGTATTCACTAGATACTGTTAGGGACCATATCAATGCCTTAAATATAAGCGAGTTTTGTATTGTTTTTTGATTTTTTGATTTTTTTAAAAAAAGATGTATGTTTCATGTCAGCATTTCTGAGTTTGTACGTTAATCTGTCTCCTTTATTTTTGTTCCGCGTTTTGGTTATTCATTTTTGGTGGTTTGCAGTGTTACGACAAGTACCTTTTGGAGGATTTGCGAAAAGCAGCTGAAGCACGAGGGCACTCTCATTGGACCAAACCTCCTAGCAATGCAGGGGAGTACAATTCTCGACCACAAGACACTGAGTTTTTCAGAGACGGAGGAGACTACGACAGCTACTACGGACGCTTCTTCCTGAAATGGTACTCAGATGTCCTAATTCAACACGGGGACCGAGTCTTAACATTTGCAAACATCGCCTTCGAGGGTGTGAAAATTGCCGCGAAGGTGGGTTCTATCCTTAAGTACTTACATTAGGCATCCTAATTTGTCTAAACAAGAGCTTTGATATGGTAGTAAATTAGCTTATGTTTTGTTTTGGCCATGTATGTTGTGAATAAAATAGCAATTCTTTCAGAGATCCCAAAAACGTGGCATTTTATGCGCTACTTCACTTAATTCTGTTTCCATATTTCTTTCGAGCTGTATGCAGGTGTCTGGAATTCATTGGTGGTATAAAACAGCTAGCCATGCGGCGGAGCTTGCAGCTGGATTCTACAATCCTGCCAACCGCGATGGTTATGCAGCAATTGCACAAATGTTGGCTAAGCATGGCGCTTCGTTCAATTTCACTTGCGTTGAGCTTCGTACCCTAGCACAAGCAAAAGGCTACCCTGAAGCTTTGGCTGATCCCGAAGGGCTTGTTTGGCAGGTCAGTCTTAAAAGATCTAGCATTCAAAATTCTGAAGCGCATGGTTGCCTCCTAAGTATTAGGTGTAGATTTACAACAATCAGTCCACAATTGGTGTCACTTCTGGGATCTTTTTAAGGCTATATTCTTAATACGCCATTTCGGATGCAGGTCCTGAATGCGGCCTGGGACGCGGGCATCTCGGTTGCTAGTGAGAATGCACTTGGCTGCTTTGACCGACAAGGATACAACAAAATTCTGGAGAATGCTAAACCTGAGAAAGACCCTGATGGCCGACACTTGGTTGCCTTCACCTACTTGAGACTGAGTGACGAGCTCATGAAAGAACACAATTTCAAAGAGTTTTCTCGATTTGTCAAGCGTTTGCATGGTTAGTTCTCACCTCTTTGAAATGGGTGAAAGCTTTGGCTTGAAGCAGTCATTATCCCCTCATGTTTGGCAGGTATTTTTTGCTTGATAGTTCATTGTCTAATCACAGCTTTTGTCGCGTTTACCAGGTAAGCCAGTCGAAAGTGACTAAGCAAGCATTATTGGAAGGAGGAAGCCAAGCTCTAAGCCTTGTACACATGATCAAGCTTTTTGAAGTATGTAGATTTTTATTGTGGAATATCATTATTATTTCAGCTCAGAGCAGCGGCCTTAAAGAAGATATGCCGACTCCTTTGAGTTGTAGATCAGGTTTCCCTTAGGGACCTCAGCTGATTAATCTTGTATCTCATTGAAACCTTGACGGTGGATGTATGCGCATACTAGAACGGAGTATACCATGAAACCTTATGTTTTCTTCTTAACCATTTTTTAATAAAGAAGAGAACACCCATTAACTTAATGAAGCCCGTACAATTGGAGTTTATACCTTGAATAATTCTTGACATTGCAAAAGATTAATCAGACCAGACATATCCCCTTACCTCGTGCATGCTCATAGGTCACAGTCGAAATTCGGATTCAACTACATTGGCAACACAGTAGATCATATATATTCATTGCATATTTAATTGTCATACATGATTAGATATCTCATCAAAACATTGACTCAGTAGCATATGCAATGTTCACATATTCCATGCAATAGTTGCAACTGATCCATTCCTTTCATAACGATGAACAGTATTGCTGCTCCATTGCATTGTGCTAGGAAACATATGAAGACAAGGAGGCTGCTCATTACACCAATCTGGATAAGGATTCACATTCTTGGAACCATGAGGGATCAGAGAAAAAGTATTCTCAGCCACACTACTCACCTGGTCATAAAAGATGCATATACCTTCTGAACTGTGCTCTATGGGTACTCCTGTAACCTCTTTCAACAACTTAGCTGCGGCGAGCTTGTTGGCAATCTTACGAGATCCAGAGACTTAGTCCATCTCCACAGCTCTACTGATTGGCCACAAGACATTTTTTCTCTTAAATTTCGCAGCAGCTCGCTTCTCTATTTTAAAGCCAAGCGTTCGTCTCCTCATTGGGGAAACAAGTCTCATGCGTGGGAGGGGCTTGTGGCATTTTGAAGCATGTGAAGTCTCTGTGGATATGGAACTCATGAAGCCTAAGCGTGTTTTCAAGACCATATGCTGCCAAGAGGCCTCAGAGGCGAACCACAAGAGAGTGGAGCTTCGGTTGAAGAACAGATTGAGTATAATATCTGGAATGAGGGTAACAGCCTCGTGATGCGGATTGGGTCTACCTGCAGGAAGAAATCGTTGATCGCCCACGAGATTAAATCTCATATCCAGTGCTATCCCACAGTGCAGTTTGAGTTCCGACCTATCAGAAGTGTATCTTCACAAACTTTTAACAAATTTAGTGCCACTCCTCTAGCTTAAATTAGCGAATGTAAATTTCGCAGCCCCTCATCGAAACAAGAAAGTGTTATGACAATGGTCATAAACCTCTGTTTCTTTTACAGGTTCCTAAGTTACTGACTTAGGTTAGGGATAGAAAGTATGTACCTGAAGTGTAGATAGGTGGAAATAGGGTAGCCTCTTAAACCCTAAACCCTCTTGCTTGTCTACTGTGGTTTGTGTGTTTACTTCAACGTAGAGGAACTATGACAAAACCCTAACGCTTAAGTTTGCGTAGTTGTGGATTTTGGGTGTTCGTTCCTTGGTAGTGTGGCACCTGTGATTGCCAGTATCTCATTCGCAAGCGGTAGTCGCAACGATGGCTGCGTCGAAGTTACCTCCGCCGGAGATAGACAGCGACGAAGAGGATAATGGAGACTGGGAAGAATGGCAAGCAGCGGGGCAAGAAGAAGAGGGTGACGAAGACGAAGCTATGAAATGTCTTTTCTGTAACGCGGAGCTGCCAACCTCCAGGGATGTCTTCCAGCACTGTTCGGAAGTGCACTTCTTTGATTTTCTCAAGCTTCGGGCCGACGCTGGTCTTGATTTTTACGATACTCTTCGTCTCATCAACTTCATACGCTCCAAGGTCTTTGCTTCCTCTTAGTATTCTCCCTCTTAGTGAGATAGTTCTATTCAGCACTGTCGCGGGTTACACAGAAAAATGTCACCAGTTATCGCAGCTCAAATAGAATGTCTGTCCGGGGATTGTAGAGAATCGCAGTAAGGGCTGAAATATTGTGTCCTGGTCAAGTAATGGAAGTTCCGGGGACAAGTGAAATGCGCTTAATCAGGTTAAGAAGGGATTTTCTGTGGGTAGAAAGATCGTGCAAATCTGTGGAGGTGCGCTGAGCATGGGCACAAACGTTAAGTCTGAACTTTGATTAAAGGCTGAGTAACCGGATTTTGCAGGTTCAATGAAGTTTATTGCGCAGTCATTACCGATGACTCACATATTTTTCAGTGTCTAAGTATTGGATGTTTGGTTTTAAAACTAAATGGACACTTTCTCAATTTTTATGTGTTTTCTTTTATAATTTCTTGATAAATTCTGGCCTTCAGTTTTAGATTATATTTCCCGTCAATCTGCCAGTTAGGTGTAGCCTTCCAGTGGTATAGTTCTTCGTAATTGGTGAAAATACGCGTTCGAAATCTTGACTCTCTCAATCATCACTGCATCCCAATCTCTAGGTGGCTGAAACTGAAGCATGGAGTGCTGAATCTAGCCTGGAGTTGCAGCAGTCTATTCGGGAGGACGCGGGTGTGTCGATGGTCACGAAGTCAAAAGGACCAAATCCTAGCGGCACGCCTGCGTGGAAAGACGATAAATTTCTCACGCCGTTCTTGAAGAACGACTCTCTACTGTACTCTTTTGACGACGAGGGAGACGACGACGATGTAGAAGAGTTTAATGCTGCGGATAAAACCTCAGCATTGCGAGATCTTTTGGAAGGCAACTCCCACAGCGAATCTTCCAACTCGACAGAGATGAAGGCTCCCGCGGGGACAGGGAATGTAGGGACAAGTGAACTTGCCGATCTAACAAAGTTCTTTCAGTCTCTGGGCGAAGACATCCGTGAAGAACTTGTCAGCCCAGTGGATGTCTCTTCAACCTCTGATGTCCCGTCTTATTCTTCTTCAGGCGCACCACTACAAGATGATGGGCCTCCTGATGCCATAGCTGTGGATGACCAAAAAGAGATCGAATTAGAGTCAAAGCTCCCCAACAAAAAGAACAAGAAGGATCTCAAGGTTACGTTTGCTGAGGTAGCTAAAAGAGAGGCACGAAATGTGAATAAGGACTATTTTGGTTCTTACAGCGCCTTTGGCATTCATCGAGAGATGCTTTCTGATAAGGTACGGACCACTAAGTCTGGAGCTTCGGTCTACAATTCTAAGCTGTGTCTCATCACGAGATTTGGGTAGTAATTGCGTTTAATTGAGGTAGTGTATAGTGGTCTTATTCATACTTCTCTGTTTTTTTTATGACCACGATTGTACATTTAAGTGGGTAAGTATGTCTCCAATTTGTGCAGGTTCGAACGGATGCTTATCGAGATGCCATTGTTGCGAATCCGACTTTGCTGAAGAACGCAGTGGTCATGGATGTTGGTTGTGGTACAGGCATTCTCAGGTACATCAATATATTTGCTTTCTTGTCTTGACCATCATTGTTTCTTCACTGCGATTTTTAAGACTCTTATGGGTTTCTGAAGCAGTCAGTTTAGTGGCTACTCAAGTACCTGGGTGCTTCAACATCTATTACGATATTGTATCTTTCTTGGTAGTACAACTCTGGAATAGTTAAGTTTTGATAGTAAAATGGCGTAGTTGTATGATTGAGAAGGTTATACTTCAACTCTTGAAAACCTAACGCTTGCGGGGTATAGAGTCAATGGCGCTTCACTGTCATCTTTGACGTATTGGACATTTTAAGTTCCTGAAATGGTTGTTTATTCATAGTTCCTCCACAGTTTGTTTGCTGCACAGGCCGGAGCTTCAAAGGTTATTGCGATAGATGGAAGTTCAAAAATGGCCTCTGTGGCTACACAGGTACTCATCTCTGTTAGACAGGAGATGCGTTTGAGTATGTGTTTGAGGTTTTTCTCCTGTGTTCCGTGATGTAGCAGTCTCCGACTTTTATTCTCATGCAAGAGAGGAGCGAGAAGCGAGAAGCTCTTTTCTAACGTCAATTATCGATCTGTGGGAATTATTTTTTAGGGATGACTCAATTCTTGAAAGTACTTTGTTAGTTGCATAGAAGGCAGTACTTAGTCCCCCACGAGTTTAACTCATTGCTGGTGATACATTGCAGATAGCCAAGGCAAATGGTTACTTGAAAGATGCTACGAATCCAGAGAGTAATTCTAAAGGTGTAATAACCGTAGTATCAGGCATGATTGAGGAACTTGATGAAACTATGCCTGTTGAAGCTGGCGGGGTTGATGTCCTAGTCAGCGAATGGATGGGATATTGTTTACTTTTCGAATCAATGTTGCCGTCTGTGCTTCATGCTCGTGACCGCTGGTTGAAACGTGGTGGTGCTATTCTTCCAGACTCTGCGCAAATGGTAAGTCAATGTGTAGGAATTTACGTGCCTTTACTGCTTCGTGGTCACTAGCTCGTGGTTTACTCTCAGTGGCTTCAATCATGCAAAATCTGAGGTTTGTAATCGTAATAATGTGGCTACTTTGGCTTCTGTTTCAGTATTTGGCTGGATTTGGTAAAGGAGGAACAAGTCTGGCCTTCTGGGAAAATGTGTATGGCTTCGATATGAAGTGTGTTGGAGAGGAAGTGGTTCGTGATGCTACTCAGGCTCCAATCATAGACGTTATCGATAGCAAGGATGTGATAACTACGTCTTCGCTCATTCAGGTATCTTCTAATTCTTTCAATCTAAACATGTGCTCTTATTACGTTCGGGAATGTATGAGTTTATTCATGAATTAGGTTGTGCAAACTTTGTCAATTCTAGTTGTGAAGTAGCTTACGCCCAAGTGATTCCGGCTGTACATCCTTCTAGAGAGAAAACAGTAAGTCATAATTATTGGTTGGTAATAATCTTCACCGCTTTAGGTTGCTTTATTGAAGTTTGCATTGAGCTTTTGCTTTGACCCATGAGTTGACTGTTTTTTTTCCCTGGCAGTCCTTCGACCTTGCCACAATGGTAGCAGATGACACAGACTTCACTGCACAATTCAAGCTGGAGCTGCTGCCACCTCGGGATCATAGTAGCGAAGAGCTCAGCAATGTGACGTGGTGCCATGGGCTTGTTGTGTGGTTTGACACGCCCTTTTCAGAGCGATTTTGCAAAGATAAACCAGTCATGTTGACCACTTCACCCTATTCTCCTAGAACTCATTGGTCCCAGACCATTCTTACATTTAAAGTGCCCATTGCATTGTCACGAAAACATGATAGCTCCGAGAAAGTCGACAAAGGGAAAGTGGGTGCTGAAGACTTCCCAGCAGCTGCAATAGCTGGACGCATTAGTATTGCTCGAAGCCACAGGCATCGTAGTATAGATATTTCCTTGGAAACTAGTGCCGTTTCTTCGAGTAATGTTGTTAGGACCTGGCCCGTCCAAATGTTTGACATTTAGACACTATGGGTGCTATGTTTCCGTTATCTATGCTTTTCTTTTCTTTTCTTTTTTTCTTTTTTTTCTTTTTTTTTCTTTTATTTCTATGTCGGCGTTATTATTTCGTGGTCTTAACGTCTGGACTGAGTTGGTGGTTTCTCGACATTTTGTGAAAGTAATAATTTTTTTCCATGATCAAGGCTACTATATCAAATGGATCGGAGATTTTCCATAGAGGTGTTATGTTCGTAGTATAATGAATGGGATGTAGATCTCATTGATTTAAATCTTTTTGCTGTCCTGTGGACTTTCCGATCTTTAATCATTTACTTGCCTCTCTTCATAACGGCATGAAGGACTTTTACGATGGAGGGATTGTTCACAATTGTTTCAGCAACTCTACCTCCAGCACTTCGTCCAGTCTTCGCACGTAGTCCTATATTGTTGCGAAAGAGATGGCTCACAACAGGGAACATAGACGATGATCCTCCTTAGTTGTGGAAATGCTCTAGCGAAACCCCCAACGAGTATATAGTAATTATACCCGTCTTATGCAGGTAATGGCACTCAAGTTTTTTGTCATCAACAGAATTTAAACCCAAACTGATACTGCCCAAGGTTTTGGAAGAAGGATGGGTCGTCAGGCTAGTTCTGCAAACACCATACGCAGGGGATGTTTTATTTTATTTTATTTTAACGGTGAACAAAAGAAAAACATTTTACAGCAAGCGTCTTAAATTTTACCATCCACCTTTAAATTTCTTTTCCTGGACTTTACAAGATTGGTGAAAGCTGCCCCAAGATAGGCAGAGAAGATTCTAGAACGCCTGGGACACCCACGCTGTGAAGGCAACATCATTCACGGAGATGTTGTTGCCACATGGTTGAACATGCGCTTTGAAAAACCCGAACTCGATACAGTATCGAGACCTTTGTGAGACGGAGACGTCTAGACAAATTGACTCGTTATATTATGCGTTGCATTTACAACTTGTCTGCTAAACTCGTAATTCCTGTCCCTTCGGCATGTCTCAGACGAAACAAGTGAAGCCATGTCTCTGACTTCATTGTTCGTACCCTGCAAATCCGACAAGCCATTTACTCTAATGCATCGGTCTTTGCAACCGTATTACTGGTCTGTTGTATTGCAGCAGCAGCACTGGGGTCAGTAACTTCCACCAGACACAGTCAAGCAGTTGCGAAAGCGTCTGCCAGTAAACTAGCAACGGTACGGAATACTGCTGGGGAATAACATTGTGCTCTACACTTCCAGAAGGTGAAGACGTGCTTCGGGTCTATTTCACGTTGGTAATAACTTCAGATGATGCACACAGTTTGGGAGGGAGCCAGACTGCATCCAATGCCGGGCTGGAACTTCCAACCCCCACCAGTCCGTGTATCGGTGGAGGCCCTGCAGGTCCGTCGACGAGTTCAAAGAAAATGCGATGCTTGCTTGTATGAGCTCTTGCGCCTTTAAACAATGCTAGTAATGTAAAGGATTGCCGCTTGCTCAACCCCATCGACAACACAAGGCTGAGGCCTGTCAAGAGCACTGCGTTTTGAATGCAGTTCATTGCCTTTCGGGAGTACCACCAAGGAGCCGGCAAAGCTCCCCACGAAGCTGATCATCGAATTACCTTTACGTTGTCCGTTACAAGCCAGTGCCAGCTTGGCTTCTTGCTTCCAGTCTCGAACCACTCGAGGCCCACAACATCCTGAAGGGCTTGATTATCAAAGGTGATGGTAGAAAATGCCATGTTAGCGGAGAGTCTTCAGGACTCGATATCATTCTATTGATCAAATGACGTTTTGAATAATTGTAGTTCTCGGTAGATCGTCAAAAACCGAATACATCGAAGAGTTGAGTGAGTGGCGCTCATTATCAATCTGAACAAAAGGTTTTAGGGTCCCAATTACCACCCACTCAGTCGACGCAGATGTGGCTCTGACGCAAATATCGTGCTTTCATTAACGGCCAGACCCCAAATCTTTGACAGCTAGTGAAGGCTTCGAGTCGAAGGCGGTTTGAGATTGGAACCTAGTCCTTAAGATAATCCCCTAACCCACCGTACGCCGATTGATCATCTGAATACTTGAAACCACGTATTTCCAAAATCACTAGGTACGACCTAAGCCAAGCGCTGCAGAAATACACAAACTCTCCCAACCTAATTGTAGTGAAACGAGTAGAGCTGCAGAGACTGTGCAAACAGTAGAAATTTCTCACCGGAGGGAGCTGGCTTCACCTGATATTCTGGTCAAGACCACGGCTAATCGAGAGTGAAGGGGATTCTGGAAGTGCAAACGGGACGTTCAGATGCTCTCAGTCGCTAAGATTACTGCATCCCACTTCCTAATACCGTTTGTGGCCTTTATAATAGGGCTAGAGGGTGTTCAACACAGGATCGTAGATCGCGCCATGATGCATGCACACTACCCTAGTGTTGATGGGAACAGGTTTAGAGTAACGCTTGTAGAGGCTGGCATGTCCTTGATGCTCATTTAAGCTATCATGATATTTGGTTTACGTATGGGGTAGTATTTGTACATGAGATCATGTGGTTGGTACCATATGCAGCACAGTCGGTACCACAGTTTTCGTAATTGGAGTATCTGCTCTATTTGCGTCAAACGGTTGGATCTGCTCATGGGGAACAAGTTGCAAACAACAACATGGTGATACAGTTTACGGTTTCATCTTCGAGAAACGACGTGCAGTCTTATGCAACATCCAAAGTATCCAAAAGGGATCCCACATTTGGCAGGTTGTGAGCGATCGCTCAACATGGTAACCCCCACAGTACGGGAAGTAAACGTCAGGCCTCGGGAAATCGAAGAGCAATCACCCAAGCAAAGTCAAACACCCTTCGATTGTGGAGTGATCGACATCAATATGCACTCCCACATCAACGTCGTCTTCGGGGGTAGTTGGGATTGAAACGACGACGAGCGCAAAATTCAATCCAGGAAAGGCTGTCGTGTGCAGATGTGGGAAGAGGCTCACGTTGACGATCGGAGAATCCATAGAACAGGAATCCATGTATTTTACAATCGGATACCCTAAGAATCTGGGGTCACGTGGGCTTTTCGAACCTGTGAATTGAAGAGCCCTTTTGATGTCTGCATCTCGTAATGTAGATGTGCATTCACAATGAAAGCACTCCCTGGATGAAGGGTGATTCCTGTCTGAAATGGTATTAAGGTAAACCTAAATTTTCTTTGAGGTTTCGTTCGGAGATTAAATTTCGGGATAAAGAATCGGTCAGAGGCCGTCCCGAGGTTTAGTTGTTTTCGAAACAAAGGTGTTTCCTGAGATGCACCAGTCTTCGGACGACTTTTCCGACTCGAAGATTTGTGTCAAGCGATGAAAATTTTGTGAGATTGTTGCGAGTCATTAGAGTATTTCTGCGAGGATTCAAATTTCAGCTGGAACTTAAGAGTGTTTAGCAACAAAAACTCGCTTTCAACGCTCTGCTATTGTAATCTCACTGATCAAGTAATGAGACGAAATTGTGCTTTGAGCAAGTCTTCTAGATTCAGCCAGCAGCAGGTACAAACATCACAGCGACTCAAAATATCTTGGCCACTGCGAATCCTCCAGCCGTCAGAGTCTACAAAAACTCATAGAACTCTACAGAATCTGCTCCGGGTAGCCTGTGACCACTCAATCACCCACATTCTGTAAGCATGTCGGAACCAAACATCAACTCACAAAGCATATTCGGACAACAGAACTTGAATATTGACAGCATCAGGCTCGTGAACATAATCTCTGTCAATCTAAGTTTGTTCACGGTCCTGGTGCTTCTGGTTCTCTGAGCAAGATGGCTTTGATTTTGAACCGAGAGCATGTGCGCAGCGCGACATTCTCCTTCGCTTATCGTGCGGTGATGCGACAACCCAAAGACCACGCCAGCACAAGCTGAGCTACAGTGTGAAGTTACTAATGAATATGTACTACAACCTTTTGGGACCACAGTCACATCCCCTTTGTCCGTATGTACGCAATCTCTATGTACATGTGAAGGGTTCACATTAATTCAGACGTGGTTCTTGGCAATAGCAAGATTGCGTCAAAACTCGTCAACCCAATTGCCTGGTTCACGGTTCAGGGTTTGACGCCCTGTCCAGTTCATCCACTTGACTGCTTTTGGTGCCTTGCTCGCACGCGACAATCAAGACGAGATGGGGATTCTGGTTTTGCGAAGGCTTCGTCAACACACTAACATGGCACCATAGGCACCGTGGCCAGCTTAGTATTTAGATTGATCCAAGCCCCTTCCCCACCCAGTTTTTCAAAGGAAATTGTTCCCAAGGACTGATACCGATGGGACGTAATTAAATACGCCAATCCATCTGGTTGAGCAGTTGTTGTCGTCCCACCCTTCACATAATCCACCCTGTTGCGAAAGGAACCCCCGCGGGCAGGCAGATATGGCAGCTTGGAAGTCGGTTGCATGTCACCATTCTTTGGATTTGGGCTCCCCTACCCTTTCCGTCCCTTTCCTCCCTCCCTCCCTCCACGACGGGGAAGCATGCGCTTTTCTCGTCACCACCACCACCACCGGGGACTTGCATTCTCTCCCCCGATTGCTCGCAATTCAGCTCCTGCTGCTCCCCCTTCGCCCACCACCGTGCTCGTACTCTGCATGGGGTGGAGCATTGCTGCTGGGCCCTCCATGTGAGCCCTGCATGAGTATCGCTGGTCCCCAGTGCCATTGTGCATGGCCGGCGTGTGTGTGTGGTTTGGATGCCGAAGCACTTAAGATCTGCCGAAACCACTTGGGTGGGATTAGACCTTGTACTAATCAGACGAAGAGAATGACTTATTGTTTGACTATCAGGGTGAGCATGAATGAGTATATTGCACATAAGTGTAATAGAGAGGTGGAAAAGGGGAGATGGAGGTATCAAATACCTCCAGTATCAAATCTGGGGCATGGTCATAGATCCAATTCCCTGATTAGGGCAAAGTACCAAGCCTTGGGAATTTGCCTTTGGGCCTTGGAGAAAAAAAAGGCCCTGTGCTTCCTCCACTGTGCTCATGGTCCCAAAAGTAAGGGAACAGAAGGAGAGGGGGACCCAATAATTAGAAGAGAAAGACAGAGCCATTAGGGGAAGAGCCAGTTAGTAGACTTCTGATTTGAGGCTCAAGGGCAGTGCTAGAAGAAGAAGAATTAGGGTTTTGTTTTATGCAGG